GATGTGGGAGACAGTACAAATTTTTTTTGCCAGTTTCCAAATTTAAAATAGTTGAAATGACTTATATCTTTTATTTTGGAAAACCAGGGACAAAAAGATACTCCTGCCAACAAGTGAGGTGCCAAGTTTCTGTCAACTGCTTGCTTATAATTTGAGGAGTTAGAATTAAATTCTGTATCTTGAAAAGTGTCCTCTTGCAGAAAGACAAATGATGGAGGAGCATTGCAGGCAACTTGTAATCCTGGTGTCTAATGAGGAGTCCATTCCTAGCTCTTTGTGTGTATCTCCGGGGGGCACATGTTCATATATGTATGGGGGCCTGTATGTAATTGTATCTGTAGGCCAGAGGTTAACATTGGTGTCATCCTCAGGAGTCATTCACCTTGTTTTTTGAGACAGGGTCTCTCACTGAACCTACGGCTTGACAATTAGGCTAGGCCGACTGGCCAGCAGACCCCAAGGATCTGGTTGCCTCCCCAGCACTGGGATGACAGGTTTGTGCCACCACATCAGGCTTTTTCCAGGAGTGCCGCTGACTGAACCCAGGTCCTCATCCTTACATGGTAAGCATCTTACTGACAGAGCCATCTGTGCACCTTACCTCCCAGCTCTCTGATACTTTTAATCAAGTCTGGGGATTTTCAAACTAGGTATCTCCTGTCATGAGGTCTCATGAGGAAAATCGTAAAGTTCAATGAACATGACTCGCCCTGGTCTTCCCTTCAGGTCAACCTTGGCCTTCCATAAAATGTCTAGGACTCAACTCACGCCACCATGCCCTTTTCATGGACTGGGAGGGAACATACAGGAGGGGACTTTTACTTGGAGAACCTGCAGCTACACTGAAACACATCATGTCAAGCACCAAATTGGTTTCTTTGTTTTGGTTTTATTTTGTAGGTAGGGTCTTCTGTAGCCCAGGTTAGTCACTAATTCTCTACATAGCTGAAGACTGAGCTGACCTTCCTGCTTCCAGCTCCAAAGTGCTAGATTCCAGCATGCATTACCATTCCCAGTTTACATGGTACTGGGGGTCGGATCCAGGGCTTTGTGCATACTAGGCAAGCACTTGATTTACCAACTGTGTACATCTCCAGCCCCAAGGTACCAACTTTATACTCCATATCAGCCAGCCTTAGCCCTGACTACCTGTTAGAATCACCTGAGGTTTGCAAAGAAAATACCAATGTCTGGGGCCTATCCCGGACCAATTAATTAAATCATAAATTCTGGGCCCTTGGCCTTTTACAAAAACTCCCTAGGTAGGTCTAATCTGCAGTCAGAGGTTAAGAACTGCTGCTGGCTATGGGAGACAGGCCCAGGATCAGCAGGAACAGAAGCTTCCCATGGCTTGGTGAGCACCTCTCCTTGGACCACTCCCAGTCATGTGACCTGGGGTGGGTCACCCTGTCAGGGAACAATTTGCATAAGTCTTCTGGCTTCCTGGAAAGAGCTGTGTAAACAGCAAGGCTCCAGCCCTGGAAGGCCTGCCTCCTGAGCAAAGTCTACAAAATTCTTTTTATTTTTTTTTCATTCAATGCAGAAAGCTAGCAATCAGAGCTGAACCAATCATGATGGTGAGCCTGGGTCTGGGGAGCCATACTCTCCTCAAAGGACTAAGGGATATGAAGTCTGGAGTCAGTGGGAAAAAGCTGGTGGTTCAGAGATAGGGTTTTATTTCACAAGCATGTAACCAGGAAACCTCCAAAGGGGGGTGAGCATTTAGAGTGCATTTAAAACTGCATCCTACCCAGTGATTTCGAACCTCACTGGGCTCCATTCAGTCAGCTTTATGCTTCATTTTTTTGAAGGAGCAAGAATGACTCCCCTTAATAACCAGGCAAGAAAGCATCAAGTGTTTTCTCTCGCTCCTTTGGAAACAAGTAGGTGTCTCCACGCTTGAATTTGTCACTGTGCTCCAGTTTTACAGACAGTGATCTGGCTGGCACAGAGACTCCCAGACTCGGTGCCCACAAACAGCTGCACCCTAGCGTACCAGCAGGTGCATGGACAGAGCTCTGAGGAAAAAAAAAAATGAGTGCAAGAACAATGGCTCCGTTATGACACCAAGGGACAGGGCCCGGGGCTAACTACTAGTTCACTCCATTTGAGGACAGGAAGAGCTAGAAACTCAGCCACAGCTCCCTGGGACTTGACCTTTCCATCTCTGAATGATAGCCACTAAGAGAGCCAGGTAGAGCATACCACAAGGACAGTGGTAGAACCCAAACAACCACACAGTTAATGGAGGGGGAGGAATCTCTGCAGAAAAATACATTCCTTTTCTTTTCACATAACTTCTCCTCCCATGGGCTGCACTGCCACAGTCACCAAGTTTACATTTACATCCAAATATGCACACACACAAAAAAAATTACCGATGCATCTCACTCCCTGGTGACTTTATAACAGGTTGCTAGGTAACAGTGCATACAAGTCAGGTTTCAGGACCTCTAGTAAGCCACCATAAAATAGCTGCATGGGCCTTTTGCATAAACAGTGTGCCTTTGCTATCTGTTTTCTTATGCCAATTGATCAGTCAGTAAATACTCCCATGGCCAAACTGTAAACAACTCCCCATCAATAGTCACTGAGAAAACAGATGACAGTATATAAGGCTTTGGTACACAGCGCTCATCCCAACCTAAGACTGCTTCTTCCTCTCTCTGCTACTCAAAGCTCTGGCTCTGAGCAGCCAAAAGGCTTCTCTTCTGCTCCCTGGGAAGGCCTGGAGCTAATTACAGCCTGATGTCTGATAAGGGGCGTTGTACAGAGCTGAACCCAGCAAGGGCCCGGTACTAGACACCAGTGTTTTAGCAAAGATCAAGCCAGCCAGCCTGCCCCCTCCCCACCCTCTATAACACCTTACTAAGTGTTATATACCCCGACTCAGTTTGCACCTGTTAAGTAAGGAAACATCCATCTGTCAAGCTAAATGAACGTGGCATTTATGTCCTTCTGGGACTGCACTGTAAGAGCCCAGAAAAGGAGTACCCTACAGGTAACATCTTTTTTCTTTGTTGGTAAGACTTTGGAGGACAGGGTTTCATGGAGCCTACTCTAGCCTCTGACTCACTAGAAACTAGAACACCAGGTCTGTGTTCCCTACAGGTGACATCTTAAAGGATTGGGTGGCCAAAGAGAGACACGCATTTCCCTTATATTTAAGAAAAAAAGTTAAATATAAAACTCAAAGTATGTAAAAGCCTGTTTTCCTTGAGACAGAGCTGAAAAAGGGAGAGAGCAGGAGAGAGAGAAGTGGAGGACCTGACAGCTCTTCAGTGCCAGGGCCACAGGAAACGAATTCCTGCGACTGGCTCTTGGCAGTGGGGTTTCCTCACAGCACTGCAGGCTCATCCCTCCTGCAATCGTTTCCTGGATGCCTCATTTTCCATCCCTTCTCTCTCCTCGGTCTCCCCAATTCATGTCTCCCACTGCTGAGGAGCAAAGATCAGGGTGAGGGGGGACATTCCAAAAGACCCGACTGAAGTGTCACAGAGCAAAGGGACTTCAGAGGAAAGCTGAGCCTCTCATTCACCTGGCAATGACATTTAGTGAAATGCAACGTGCAGTCCACTTAAAGGAAGGCGGTGACCAATTGTTCTCCATTTAAAGGGTATTGTCAATCTCCAGAGAGCCGAAATGGCATTTGGAAACATCCTGGGGACTGCCACCTTCACTGACAGACAGAACCCATTCTCAACCAACCTTTCTCCACCGTCTACAACACCTTTAAATTTTAAAATCATATTTTTAAAAACAGCATAGGTCCACAATGTGTCTTATTCCTTGTTCCAAGTGAACCAAAAAGACATCTATCAACTAACTTTCCACCTCACTGTGACACCACTAGTTCATCAAAGTCACACACACACACACACACACACACACACACACACACACACACACACACACACACACACACACACACACACACACGTATTTTGAAACAGGGTCTCATTTGTAGTCCTGGCTGGTCTGGAGCTCACTATGTAGACCAAACTGGTCTCAATCTCATAGAGATTCACCTGCCTCTGCCTCCTGAGTGCTGGGATAAAAGGCATATGCAACCACACCCAGCTAAAAATATATTTTTATAACTTACATCACCTTCTTTTCAAAGAGCATGAGAGAAGTTGGGAAAGAAAGTTTAAAATTTCTTCTTGAATTCCGCTTTACAAGAGCGGTCTAGAACAGTCAAATTCATGGAAACAGAAGGTAAAATCATGACTACTGGAGCCCGAGAGAAGGGTTGGTAAGACAACTGTTAAATGGGTACAGCTTGAGAGCATGATGCAGTTCTAGGGGGCAGATGGTGGTGATGGTTATTCAACGATGTGTTTTAACGCCACGAAAATGCACACCTAAAAATGGTTAACACACTATATCTTAAGTATGTTTTATTACACTAAAGAAATTCTGGAAAAAAAATCATAACCACCTATAACCTTTGCTTAAATTAGAAAAGTCTGTAATTCCTCACTGTATGCTTTGTATATGTTCTTCAAATGCTTTGAAATTAAAACAGTGAAGAGCTTAAATAATGGAAAAAGGAGAAATTCCATGTAAATGCTTTCAGAAAAACCAGTGTAAGAGAAACGTTAACTAGACCCAAGGTCACAGGAAGCAAAAGACATAGCTTACCCTCTGAGCTTATCCTTTCACTGTGAGAGCCCAAAAGGGGGGGGGGGATCCTTATCACTTCCAGACCCAAGTAGAAACAATGCCTAGTTCCAAAGGTGTACTAAGACAAAAGTTAAAAAATGAAAAGAAAGAGAGGAGAAAGGAAGGGAGGGAAGAAAGGAAGGAGGGAGGGAGGGAGGGAGGGAAGATGGAGGGAGGGAGGGAGGAAATTTCTCAAAGTGCAAAGTATTAGAATTCAGGGGCCCTTGAAATCATCTAGTCCTACCATCTTATTGTACAGGAGAGAGAGAGAGAGAGAGAGAGAGAGAGAGAGAGAGAGAGAGAGAGAGAGAGAGAAGACACCCCTATGCAAGTACCTGACAGCTTCATGAGAAAATCGGACGCCATCTTAACCGAGATGTCCTGGCTGAACAATGCTGCCGCACTGTGGGACACATACTCGGAGGGGTCTTTCAGCTTTGTGTGGTGGGCGGGCCTGTCAGCAGCATTCAGGGTAAAGGAGGTGGGCAGGCCGTTATCTTCCTTGGGTTCCTCCTTCACCAGCAAAGGTGCGACGCCAGCCCCACCCTGGCTAGTCCTCTCTGGAGTGTTAGACGTCATCACGGTCCCCACTAGCTCTGTCCCTCCTCCTTCCCTTTGCTGCTCCAGGCAGCCACTGTCACTGAGGTGGGGAGATCCCTTGACATCTGGGTCTGGGATCTCCTCCTTCACCTTGGCCTCTGTCCTCAGGAAGTGCTGATGGCAACGCATGTGCAGTTTCAGGCTGAAGTGGCGCGAGGATGTGAAAGGGCACAGCTGGCACTGAAAGGTCTCTCCCCGGTCCTGGTGCTGATGAACCTGATGGAGAAGCAAAGAGTGAGCTAGCTGCCATGGGCTCCTGAAAAACGCCTTGTGTGTCCAAGCATTCATCACGAGTATCCTCACTTTGCACACGGAAGGAAAGGACCAGAGGAGTCCTTCATTATGATGCTCCAGGTAATAAAGTTAATCCCTAAACACAAGGTGGGTTCACAGAAGCTGAGTCTACCATGACAGCCCAGTGACAGCTGAGGATGCTGTCTTGGATAGACTCTTTCTAATATGCTAGTCACCTGACCTCGCTCAGCTATCTTCATAGAAAATAACATAAACCCAACACAGTGGGAATTTTCATAATTACTAGTTAGGGGTTAAAAGACATAACCCTTCAAGCAGTTCTCATACCAATAAACTGTTACATGTACTCAGTGATAGTCACCAGAGAATTCACTGTTTTGCCAGCACGATCTCACTTTTTCAAAATGCTGCTCTTGGATAATTAAAGATGTAGAAAAAACAGTGTCTCTGGGAGCTGGAGAGATAGCTCAGTGGTTAAGAGCACTGGCTGCTCTTGCAGAGGACCTGGGTTTGATTCCCAGCATCCACATGGCAGCTAACAACATCTGTAACTCCAGTTCCAGAGAATCCGATGCCCTCTTCTGACCTCTGGGGGCACTGCACAGCACAGGTGCACTTACCTACATGCAGGCATTACACTCATACACATAAAATGTTTTTTTTTTCAATAATGTTTTCCTGAGGTAGGATGCATCTCTTTCAAATTTGGCTGTAAATTTTTAGGTTTACAGTTGAATTATTACAGTTATACAATATTGTACTCAGTATA